CTGTCTAGCAGGGTTTGAAGAAATACTGTTTGCTCTCTAATTACCATCAACCAGGAATTTAAATGGTCTATTAAATTTGACTTCTTTTTTTTTTTTTATATCCTTGATTGTTCCAGCTCCAACATATCCTGGGATTTTGGAGGCTTTTTTCTCTTCCTGAAAGTGCAGAGGACATTCTCAGCCTCTGTACTACCCTCTTTTAAAAAAAAATAGTGCATTTCTGTAGCAGGATAATAAATATTGTATATACTGGTGCCATTCAAAAGCAGAAGCTCACAGCCGGGTTCAGCTGGCCCTGTTCGCCTCTGGGGAGCAAGGCAGTCAACCAGGTTCTTTGTCAGGAATTGAAGGACACCTGTACAAAGCTTTCTGGACAGTGGGGCTTGTTCATTTTTTTCCCTATAGTAAAAGGATAGGCCTAGAATGAACATCAGCCACCTTTACTCTGTGTTTGCACTTTGAGAAAACATGTGAGTGTGTGGTGTGTGCACTGTGGGGATGGGACTAGGCTGTGGCAATTTGAGGCGTCAAGGGGGTGAACCTGGGCGTCACCCGGAGAGAGTGCCTCATGGGCCTGACCCTGTTCTCGGCCCTGGGGTGCCGAGGGGTCAGCTGTGCCCAGAAGCGTTTGGAAGAGCAATGAAACTCACGGAAAGATCTCCCTCTTTTGATCGTGGGCCTATGGGAAAATGTGGGCTTATGTCAACATCTCCCCCCGCTACTGCCCAGTCAACCTGTTGTAATTACCTGTGCGGTTTGTTTTGCGTAGAATCATACAGTACATAAAAAGCATGTATTGGCCTTGCCAGGCTGTCATTTTCTTTTCCTCCCCTCAGTTTTGAGGCGTGGACATTTCTGTCACGCACCTGTTGGTGTTCTGGTTCCACTCTGGCTGCTTGCCAGACACCAGCAACACCTTCCGTTTCTTGCTTCTCTCCGCGCTGGTCCCAGAACTGCCTGCTATTTTGTGGGTTCTTTTCGCCGCAGGCCAGGTTCTGTGTTCTGTGGAAGGGTCCGTGCCAGCTGTGAGGTTTCTAGCAGATACTAGGATTCAGGGACCCCTTTGGGCTTCCTCAGCCGTTCAGGAACTAGGCTGTACATCAGCTTAAGCTGAGCCAGCCAGGGAGAATACCTGAGAGAATTTGTCTCTGTCTTTTTCCCAAGGACTGGGGCACGAGTCCAGCAGGGGCTGTGACGTGCGTCTGCATTTTTCTGAACTGAGCTGCCTCAAACCCTGCCACAACCTGTTCATGACCTCAGCTGCGTAAATCCTCCGCGTAAACCCTTTTACACTTGGCGGTTAATTCTAAACACTGCTTTGGAACGGGCTCGGGATCACTCCCCAGCTGTCTCCCGGGGAGACCGTGCCAACTGCTGCCATCAGTCGGGAGGACTCTGCTCCGGCTTGCTGGCCGCTGGGGTCGCCACTATGGCAGCCGCATGGTCACGTTCATTGTAAAGTATCTGGAGGAAAAATTAGTGGGCCACCTCGGTCCTCCTTTGTGGTGTTCTGAGATAAGTTAATAAAAAATTCTTTTGTTGAAAATAATTGTTATTTTATTACAGTTGTCCCAATTTTTCCCCTTTGCTCTCTCCTGCCTGCCACCCCCACTCCCACAGTCAATCCCCACCCTGGTGCCTATGCCCATGGGTCCTTCATACAGGTTCCTTGACTAGACCCTTCCCTTTCTTCTCCCCCTTATCACCCTCCCCTTCCCTAATAAAAAAAATTCTTGACCAACAGGACAGTCATTTCCTTCTAGGCTTCACAAAAGCCCCCTAAACACCTAAAAGGTCGGTATCCACTTTGCAGAGAGGAGAGCTGTTGAAGCAGTTCGAGCACTGGTCCCAAGTGGCATCTTGGGACGACACAGGTCAGGGAATTGAAATTGCGGTCTGATCTGGGCTCTACCGTGGGCAAGCCATGGGACCAGGGGCCAGTTGCTCTGTTGTCCAGGGTCCCAGTTTTCCTGTCTGCAAAACCACGAGATTGTCCTACTGTGGAAGTTCCTTTCTGTTCCGAAATTCTGGGTTGGCCAAGGGAGTGTGGTGGCCTAGAGCAGGGCTCAGACTGCATAGAAATTACCTTTGGGTCTCATTAAACCAAAAATCGGACTCAGTGATGCTAGGTTGGGGCCAGAATTTCTAACAAGCTCCGAGGTAGTGTTAATTCTGCTGATTCTCAGATCACAGGTTAAGAAGCCAGGCGCTAGAGTCTAAATCATGGTTTCCCAGCCTTGGCCGTATTGACATTTCCAGCTGGACAACTTGTTGTGGGGCACTGTCCTGTGCATTGCAGAATATTTAGCAGCATCCCTGGCCTCTGCCCAGGAGATGCCTGTAGCATCATCCATCCCCACTCCTCACAGTTATGACAACCCAACATGCTTCCAGACATTGCTGAACGTCTCCTGGGGGAAGGGAGGGGGCGGCAACATCACCCCAGTTAGGAACGTTGGTCTAGACCAGTGTTTTCAAGCCTGGTTATATATCAGAGTCACTTAGAAGATGTCTAGTAAGTGCAATAGCTTGGAGGTCTTCTCTTTGAAATTCTAGAAAAGCAGATGTTCTGGACTTGAGTCCCAGTGTGACCCTCCATAGCTGTGGGACCAGAGTTCACAGGCTCCAAACCAGAAATTCTTCAGTTCTAAAATAGGGGTAATGGTACCCCTAATGGTACCTGCTTCATCAGGCTGTTGGGAAGATCAAGTGAGATGAATTGACATTGAACTTGGAAACTATAAAGTACTGTGCAGATGTTAGTGGTGAATATTATACCACAGGCCTCTGGAGTTTTGTTTGATTGGTCCAGTTCCTTTGTTTATTTTTCCCAGGACTGGGTTCATCTTCCCTCTGGCCTGCTGCAGTGACCTTCGCCCTGTCTCTCCTCTGCATTCCTCCAGTCTTGGGCATGGTCCTGGGCACGGTGTCCTGCAGTCACTCTAACCCGAGGGCCTCACACTCGCATTGCAGCCTGTGGGCCAAGCTCTGCCATCAGATGGGTTTTGTTTGGTGTGAATGGTGTTTTCCACTTGTTGCCATCCCCCCTTGGCCTTCTAACCATGCTTGTGTTCCCTGCCTCAACCCCCTCCCCCCTCCCCCCAAGGCATCGAGTTTGCCATCCCTGCCTTTGGCCTCCTGTCCTTTCCTTTATCTTTAATCACGACCAGTTATTCTTCCCTTTTGTGCATTACTGGTAGAACCATATCTGGCTCATCTTGGTGCCTGGGGGAGTAGGTGCTCAGCAGATGTTTGTCGAAATGTGGTATGTTCATTCCACCCTTGCCCGTCACAGATAAAAAAGGATATTCATTGAGCTTTACTTATGGCAGCTTGTTTTGCCTTCCCAAAATTTCTTTCCCGGTTTCTAATGTCCATATTCTTGAGCAGAACAGGGCAAGAAAACGGGGAACTCCTTTTTCAGCTGGCCTTCCATTCTTGTTGCCTTGTAACTGGAGGTGGTGACTGAACCTTTCTGCCTCAATCTTGTTGCAACTGCCCATCTTCAACCACAGCCCTTGGTGTCCAGTTGCATTTATAGCATTTCTTTTGAGTATTTCCTGCAAGAACATGAGCCCCTTGCAGGGGGTGGAGGGGCAGATACTCCATTCTCCTTTCCTCCGGTGTTGAAAGCACTTGAGTTGAACTCCTGACCTCTGGGAAATGATCAGATCTGAGAGCCCATATGGCTTTCTGACCCCCTATTCAAGGCTCTTCTACCTGACTACGTGACATGGGCAGAAGTTTCCTCTCCCTTCATCTCCTTTCCTTATGAAAAAGCATTTCATCCTCTTCCTGCAATTGAGAGAGTGCAACTAATTGTTAATAAGTAGCACATGTTCGTCTAGAGCCCATTTCCCCACAGTTGAACTCGAGCTGGCTGCCAGACAGTAGCTTTGGCCTGCTCTGTCACCCACCGGGGTTTTAAGTATGTTACAGGTCAGAAATGCAATTGCTCACGTCATGGTCCGTCAAGCTCCCACTTGCTTGTGTCTGGACTTTTCGGTTTATCCTCTGGTAGAGGCACAGGCAGAATCGCCCTGGAGGGTGTTGGTATAGGCCACACCCAAATAATTTGCACTCCAAGAAACTCGACACTTACTGGTGGGCAGTATAGCTGAGTAAATGAGATGTGTGGTTATTCCCCACAGTTTTGCTTGACTGGTACCAAAGCAGGGGATTTTTCTGGTGATTACACAGTGGTTTGCAGGCTGGGGTGGTGATGATGACGTGATGAAATAATTACTGCTCGACGAGTCTAAATCGTCAGTGCTCCGAGTCCCGTGGACGTTGAGCCACCGCTGTCGGAGACAAACACTGGAGCTGGCAGTGGTTAACCGCTGCGCAACTGCGGACTTCCAGACTCTCCTGTCTTCTGCACTTCAGTGGAGTGCAGAGAAAGTTGTCTCATTCTCCCTGTTGAGCCTTTTCCACAGTCCACCCTTGACCCTTAACATTTTCTCCTTTGTAGCAGTGTCTGTCCCTTGGCCGGCTTTTGTCTCCTAAGAGTTGCGAAGTTGGTCCTCAGTCAAAACAAACATGCTGTGCTGTGCAGAAGGTGCCTCCCCTCTGCCACGTTCATAGGCTCCACTGACCAGCAAACAGACCTAGGGTTCACGTTCAGAAATGCTTAGCTGGACCCAAGCTCGGTCAGCTGTGAAGGGGATCTTTCTGGTCCCTCGGACATGGGAAAGCCGTTCTTTCCAGTGGCTTGAAAGTCCACATTTCGTCCCATCATTCAAGAATATTTCCTGGGCCCCATGCATGTGGCCAGCCAGCACTGTGCTCACAGCAGGGTACTGCAGTGAACCCGGCAGGCAAGGTCGTTGACTTTGAGGAACTTACACGCTATGAGGAATAGTCAGACAGGGAACATGTAAACAAACACGATGACTTCAGCTGGCTTGGTAGGGGCCACAACGAAACAAAGCCTCTTTCCTGTAAGGGCCAGAGTGCACTTGCTGCCTGTGCTTGCTGCCTGGACATGGTAAGAAGCTGTCAGTGATGGCCAAGACGGTAAGTCATGGGTGGCATTTAGCTCTCGCCCATGTGTGTGCAGACATGAGGGTTGCCTAACAAGGGGATGAGGAGCTCAGGCCCTGGAATCAAATAGGATCCGACTCTGGGTCCCTCTTACCAGCCTGACTTTGGGCAAGTTAATTCCCATCTTCAGTCTTGTCAGCTGCAAAATGGGAATAATGAAACCTACTTCAATGGTGTAGGGTGGAAATGAACTGAGAGGACAGGTGCCGACAGAGCCTTGCCACCACCCTGACCATCGCAGAGACGCAGCCTCTGATGGTAGACACTATGCATAAAACAGCCTCGTTAGGCAGCTGATTAGCAAAATGGCCTGACTGTGCTTGCAAACCTACTTCTGACTTGGTTTCCATCCAGTGGGCAAGGCCTGGTGTGTGGAGTTCAGATCCAGTTCCCCAGGCTGGCTCGGTGGGTCCTGTTTGCCGTGTGTTTCTTTTAGCCATACCCCGGGTGCTGCTGGCCTGCACGGTGTGGAGAGGGGATCCGGGTGTGTGTACAACGCAAGGAGGAATTGAGCACTCGGTGAGTGGTGAGGTAAGAGAGAGAGAAGGCAGAGAGCTGGCTGGTTAAGAGGCTGGCCCGCTGGGTGATGTGGTAGATGGGAGTGGAGACATCAGCGGAAGGTGCTGGGTGTGTGCTGTGCTGCCTACTCCCTCAGAGGTGCCCAGGCTCTCACGTGGGGGCTGAATGTGTACCTGGCGATGCTGAGAGGTCATCATGGCCACCGACTAGACTCTTAATTAGCTGATAAGTCAGAAGCTCTAGGGAAGGGAAGGGACTTGCCCAGGCCCACAGTGGCTGGTTCATGCATGCTTACATTATACCTGGCTTAGGCGCTGGCTCAGAGGTGGGACATGGCTGGTGGCCGTAGCTGCGACGGGAGAAAATAAAGGCCACAGACCTGTACGCTGGCCTCCTGGAGTGCTGGTCGGCTCGGTGAATGAGGTGCCAACACTTCCAGATCAGGTGATTTTCCATTTTTAAACAACTGCATTTCTGGCTTTTCTTGGAAAATTCGCATCTGGCAAAACTGGGCTTACATCCCGAGATGGTAAAAGCCAGATTGGACTGAGTCATGGCATGGCCGCCTCCTCGAGCCTGGGCGGCCTCGTCCCCTCTCTGTGATGTTCCAGGCCTGGACCTTGGGGCAAACATGGTGCGAGAAGGAAAGAAAGTGGTCCTTCCTTCTAGCTTCTGTTCTTACCAGGGCTTGTTTCCTGGCCCATGTGTCCTTACACAAGGCAGCTCCTTGGTGGAATAAGTGCTGAATAAATACATTTGTGTTGAATGAGTGAATGGACTGTAATTGATCGGGCACTGAGCTTGGGATGAGAAACCAAGTGTGGATCCCGAGTTCCTGCAAACAGCTGAGTGACTCTGACCAAATCCTACAACCTGTATTTTGGTTTTGTTTTGTTTTGTTTAGAGAGCAGGGAAAGGGGGTTCACTGTGATTCATTCTTACTTATTTGAATAAGCAGTACATTTTCATGTTTTAAAATCCAAAAGTACAAGAAGGTTTATCGAGAAAATTCTTCCCCACGGTTTTTCCACCACCCACCCAGCTCCCTTCCCTGTGGGAAACCCGGGCTAACAGTTTCCGGTTTGTCCTTTCAAAGCTATTTTGTGCACACATAGCAAAATATGTAAATGTTCTTTTTTTGCATAGATGGAAGCATAATATGTACACTCAGGATTCTGCATTTAGCTGTTTAGCACACTTTCATTTGCAGGGGCGTCCAACCCACAGCCTGTGGGCTGCACGTGGCCCGGGATGGCCGTGAATGTGGCCCACCACAATTTGTACTTTTACTTAAAACATTATGAGATTTTTTTTTTTTTGGTTTTCATTAGTGTTTGTGTATTTAATGTGTGGCCCAAGACACCCCTTCACCCCTTCTTCTCCCAAGGTGGCCCAGAGATGCCAAATGTTTGGACACCCCTGCGAGTGTTCCCGGGAGAGCACCCCGATCAGTGCACGGAGAGCTCTCGCCTTTCGGGGGAGCCTGCAGGATTCCTGCACATGGGACACCACAGGTTACACAGCCGGTCCTCTGCTGCTGAGCACTTAGGTTCTTTCCGACCCGCTGCTGGTGTAAAGAAGGCTGCAGTGAAATCCCTTGTTATGTAAGTCACATGACATGCCTGGAGTAAAATTCCTGGAAGTAGAAGTGCTGGGTCAGAGGCCATAGCCTTCGTCATTTCAGTGGGTCTTGTCAAATCTCCCTTTGGAACAGTGGCCCCACTCTGCTCTCCTTCCAGCAGTGTGCTCGAGGGCCTGTGGCCCCACCCCCTGGGCCTCTGTCACCTTTTGGAGCCTATGATGGTTTAGTGAAGAACACGGTGTTATATAAAAATGTTACTGCTAGCTACAGTTTTTTTTTGGTGGGGGGGTGGTACCCTACTAAGGGCCAGGCCATGAACTAGGTCATCTCGTTTAATCTTAACAATGTCGAGAGCAGTGTCACCCTCAGTGGACACATGAGGAAGCTGAGATGCAGAGAGTTTGAGTCACTTGCCCAGGTCACCCGGCTAATCCATCGTAGAAGCTGGATTTAAACCTACGGTGATCTGATTTCAATACAAGGATGTTTTCGTATGGTAAAGCTGCACATAATTTTAGGTGTTGGTGTTCTCAGGTGACACTTCCGTTCCTGTGTCCCTCCCAGCTATAGTACCTCTCGCATGGCGGGTTCATGTGCTCGTGCATCACATATCTGTGAATTCTTGCCCTATACTCCCTGGGGATGCATCTGAGGACGGGATAGATACATTCCCTGTCCTTATGGACCGCCCAAAAACAATAAGAAGTCGTTTCGGAGGAATTGCTGTGGTAGATTGTGATAGGACAATAAAGGAGGTGAGGGGGTGGCCCGTGGGGCGATGGGACTGAAGCAGGGGCAGGGGTGAAGGGAACCTCTGTGAACAGGTGAAGGACTGGCGATGAAAGATGCGGGTCTGAACCTGGAGAAGCAGGTGGGAAGTATTTCACACAGAGGGCACAGCATGTGCGAAGGTCCTGGGGTAGGCAAGAACAGGTTGTGTTGGAGGGAAGGAAGGAAGGCCAGTGAGCCTGCCTGCAGTGGTGGGAGGTGGGGGTGGGAGGATGGGGTTTGGGGATTTATTCTAAGAGCTCTGCAGAGCCTCTGAAGGCATCAAAGCTCCAGGGTGATGTGAGCATGGTGGGTCCTGGACTGTTGGGTTCTGGCCCCAGCACCACCTGCCACAAGCCACAAGTCACTGGGCACTCCATTTCCTTCTCTGTAAAATGCGGCCAGTAACAGCATCCTGGAGGTTGTGAAGATCAGACAAGGGCATTCACACATTTTGAGTGCTAGAGACACACACATGAAATGTGTGGTCCATGTTGACTCGGTACACATGAGTACACATGTAATAAATACGTTTCCCCAAAATGCGATCGGTGCACTCTGATGATTTCTGAGCTGACCTATTTCACTGGAGATTTTGGGTGAAGACCCCCGACAGTCATTTTAAAACCACTGAGAGAATTCATGCTCCGTGCCTGCTCCATCCACGACTGGAACTCATTGATTGATGGCGCTAGCATTGTCGTCCTCGTCCTCACAAAGAGAATTCTGGCTGCAGTTGGAGAGTGGAGCCGCCGAGTGAAGTGACATTATCTAAGTCTTGAAGGATGTGGCCCTTTGGTTCCGGTGTTCCTGTCCCGGGCGAGAGTTCCGCGCTGGGGACCCTGGCGGGTGGGAGGTCCTGAGCGGAGCGTGTAAGCCGGCTGCCTGCCCGGTTCCCCTGGGAACTGGCTTTTCCTCATTTTTGGGCGGTCACATCAGACTGTGCTGAGTTTTCTTTGACTTTGTTGTTTACTCGCAGAATGGCTTTTTCCTGGAAGCCTCAGAGTCATTAGAAGCCGCCCACTTCTTTATTTTAAGTTGTGCCATTCATCTACTTCCCTTTTCAGTGTCAAGGTTGGTGCCTTAGTGCAATTTATTTGCATTTTCCACTGAGAGTTCCGCCTTCTTCTGCCCGCCGGCCCCGCCCCCTGGCAGTGCCCCTCCCGGTGCCCCTCCCTGCGCCCCAGCCCGGGCAGCAGGGATGAGAGAGCACCACTTCACCGTCTTTTTCTCCAGAAAACATGTCCCAGATGCTAAGTATGGAGCTTCTCAAACAAACCCCCGCCGGGTGAGCCTGGGAGAGCGTGCGCAGTGATGAGGCTGGATAACGCAGTAACTGCCACAGCGCTTCACGAATCTGGGACCCAGCCTTCCAGATAGTGGACGCGAACCCTTTAAGCGCCAAAGTACTTAGCCTTTAAATAATTTTTGAAGCACGATTTTCTAAATGTTAACTGCATGGGCCCTCCAGAAGAGAACACATACCAAAACGCTGCCTTTTTTTTTTTAACCGACACATTAGGCAAAGAACTTTCTGTGATGATGATGATGATGCTGATGGTGGTGGTGGTGGTGGTGGTTGAACTGTATCCTCCCAAAATCTGTATGTTGGAGACCTAGCCTCCAGCCCCTCAGAAGGTGAATGTATTCAAAGACAGAGCCTTTCAAGAAGGGAGTGAAGTTAAAATGAGGTGGTCAGGGTGGGCTCTGACCCAATCAGGAGAAGAGGAAATTTGGACAGACGGAGAGGGACACTGGGGAAGCTCACACACGGAGGAAAGGCCGTGGGAGGGCGCGGGGAGATGGTGGCCATCTGCAAGCCGAGGAGGGAGGCCTCAGCAGAAACCAAACCGGCCGACACCTTGGCGTCCAGCCTCTAGAACTGTGAGCAAATGAATGTCTGTCGTTTAAGCCTTTCACTCTGTGGTATTTGGTTACGGCAGCCCTAGAAGACTAATACAGTGGTGATGGTGGTAATAAAAATAAATAATGGGTACCATGTATCAAGTACTTCCCGCATACCAGGACAGTGTTAAACCTTAGCTGAATCATTCCATCCAACCCCATACCCATCCTAAGTCACTTGCCCTGGTCACAGGGTAAGCCTGACTCTGGCACCTTTGCCTAAACCTCCGTCTAGAACTTGCATAGTTCCAGGAATCATGCCAGGCACTTCATAGGCAGCTTTTCTTGTCACCACAACTCCCCAAGGTAAGTCTGGCTGTTTGTATTTTTCAAATGTAGGGACTGCAGCTCAGAGTGATCCCAGGCTACACAATGAGTGCACTCACTTCTTGTGGCTGCAGTAACAAATTTCCACAACTTTGGTGGCTAAAAACAATAGCAATTTATTCTCTCACAGTTCTGGAGGTCAAAGGTCCAGATTCAAGGGGTCACAGGGCCATATACCCCCTCTAGCAGCTCTAGGGGACAATCCATCCCTCCCTCCCTCCCTCCCTCCCTCCCTCCCTCCCTCCCTTCCTTCCTTCCTTCCTTCCTTTTTGCCCACAACATCCCAATTTCTAGCTGACTTTGGGGGATCTGTTTCTTTTCTTCTCCTGCTTTGGTGGCTGCCGGCATTCCTTGGCTTGGGGCTGCATCCCCCCAGTCTCTCCCTCCCATCTTCACATCACCTTCTCCTCTTTGTCAACCTGTGTGTTTTTCCTCTTCTGTCTCCGGTCTCCTTCTGCATCCCTCTTACAAGGATACAGGTGATTGTATTTATGGGCCCACATGGATCCTCCAGGACAAACTCCTTCTCTTGAGATCCTTAGCTTAATCCCATCTTTTGCCATCTAAGGTAATGTTCAGAGGTCCTGGGGACTAAGAGGTGACTCAGTCTTTGGGGCACCAGCTTTCCTGCCCAGCCCAGTCAGTGAGTGGCAGAATGAGCATTGATGCCAGGGTTTGTCTCATTCCAAAGCCTCAGGAGACGCCTCCTGCTTTGGCGCTCCAGGCCTGGTGCACTTTCTGGGCCGTGGTGGGGGCGGGTGTTCGTCACAGTGTGGAGCTAGCTAATGATCACCGGGCCCTTTGACCCAGCAGTTCCACTTCTGGGAATGTACTCCGCACAGATGGTCACGTGGTTGCGAAGAAGGGCAGATGTGCCCCTTCTCTGCAGTGACACAGAGCTGGAAACTACTAAAATACCCACCTGTAGGGGACTGGTTAAACTAAGTGCGGTATCCCCTACATGAAATAGTTAAGAAACCATTACAAATAGCGAAGTAGATACATACATAGTGACATGGGCAGATGGCCATGACGTATTGTTAAAAGGACAATTTACCCATTTTTATTAAAATAAGTGTGCACATATGTATGGTTCTTAAGAATTAAATGACATTAAGATTCAGTTCCTCAGCCACGAAACCACATTTGAAGGGCTCGGTAGCGAGGCACACGTGGCCCGCGGCTGTCACAGCAGACAGCACAGCTGGAGAACGTTTCTGTCGTCTTAGAGAGGCCCGGGCAGCGCTGCCCTGCGTGAGTCAAGGGCCAGAGGGAGGCCTTTCCTTTTCCATGTTGTAGACGTCTGTGAGCGGTTACCCTTTTTACAATAAATAAGCAGGTTTGCTGACATCAGAAAAGTAGAAGCAACAATGGGATTCTAAGGTAACATTCTAAGGTAGCATTCTATTTCTTGAGTTGGCGGTAGTTATTTTATCCTCAGTGAAGGTGTATGTGTTTGTGTGTGTGTGTACAAACTCCTTTTTTAGTTTGTGTCATCATGGGAATATTTAAAAATGTACCAGGGGCGGGGCAGGGGGGTGGAGAATTGCCCGGCAGGGTGTGCATGGCTGGCCGGGCCTGAGGCTGGGGAACATTCAGCTGGGTCTGCTTCGTGGACCCAAAGGTTTCCAGCCTTGGCCATGTCACCTACGTAGCCCATTGGGACCTCAGTTTCCTAATTTGACAGAATTCCCCCTCGACTTGCCTTACAGGGGCAGAGTAAGATTTAGAAGGGTGGTGGTGTGTGGAAATACTCTGAAACTGAGGAACGTGCTACACAGATGTGAAGGGTCAGTAAATACCGCCACGAGCTACCCAAGGCCCGACGGGACGAGGCCCCAATACACGGTGACCACCACTGGGACTAGAGACCTTGCTCCTCCCCAGCAGTTTCCAGGTGTTGCTGAGGTCACCACCAATAGCAGACGGAAGTGTTGTTGTATTCCTGCTAATGCCCTTGCTTGGAGACTTAGAAACAATTTGTTTTATTTATTTAACACACAGCGATGTAACATTTGCTGCTTGCCTTGCACTGTTCTACGTGCTTTTATGCTCACGCAATCCTGAGGTCGTCACTGTTAGGCTGCTCATTTCATGCAGGAGGAAGCGGAGGCTCAGAGAGGTTAATTTAAGAAACTTGCCCCGGGTCACACAGCTCATAAGGAGAGGATGTATAACTAGGGCAGGCCATGCTTTCTCCTTTCATCCTGCTCCTCTTGCCCCCAGCAGATGTGGTCATAGAGTCCCTTATGTCAAGTTACCTCAGGGGCATGAGATTTAAATTTTGATAGGAAATCTTGTGACTCTGTGTTACCTGACTCACTTGGTCAGTTTGATTCCATTTCATGGTGGAGTTTGGTAGCACGACTAAGTGGGAATGGGCTGTAGCATTAGGCCAGTCTGGGCACCTCTCCCTGACTTGTCTCTCATTAGCTGTGTGACTTCTGGCAGGTTACTAACTTCTCTGATTTTCCAGCGGGGTTTTGTGAGGCTTGAGTGTGTTTAGCTTCTGTGACAGTGCTTGTCATCCTGTCCGGCAGGCAGTCGCTGCTGCTTCAGGGGCTGTCCTTTCCTTCATCCTTGCCTCAAGCAGTACGCTTAAGCTTGAGGATACGGAGATGAGTAAGTCCCCATGTCTGTCTTCAAGGAGTTTACAAAACGGCCTAGGTGGGGGCTGGGGGCTAGATCAGGAGTCAGGGAACCTGAGTCCCAGCCCGCTAGCCTCTCCTATCTTGGTGACACTGGACAGGTTCCTCTGCTCCTCTGGGCTTCACCTGTGAATGGGGTCCTGCGTTAGCAGCGCTCCAGGGCCCCATCTGTCTCGTCACTTTCTGTTTGTCACAGTTAATTCAGGACACGCCTGTGTCTGCGGGGCCAGCGCTGTAGGGCGCCAGCTTTTCCCTTCTGGCTGCTCTTGGCGGCACTGCCAGTGGCTTCTTTTCTGTGGTGCCCTGCAGAGGCCTGTCCAGATGTCGGGGTGGTGGGCTTTGGGCTGTCTGCAGCCCGTCAGGATCTGAGGGTGGCAGATTTCCGGTGAGAAATGAGTCAGAGGAAGCTCCTGGTTGTGTGATCCTCTGCAGCTGATGGGAGGCTGTGGGATCTGCAGTCCTTGTGGGTTGAAAATTACCCTTCTTTAAAAAGGGTCGTCTGTGCTGATGAGGCTGCCTGTGTGTCTTGCTGGATGCATACGTGGCTTTGAGTGGGAGACCTGGGGAGGGGGGGACACCAGCTGAGAAGTGGGGGGGACACCAACTGAGAAGTGGAGGGGACAGGAGCCAGCCCTGTGATCCCCGGTGTCACACAGCCTTCTGGAGAAGTGGTTGTCTTGGCAGGCAGCCGGAAGGTAAACACCCGAAGTGATTCATTCCGCTCGCCTTTCTCCTTTCCTGTACCACTGCCACGGAGTGGGAGGCAGCTCCATCACCTCAAGTTTAAGAGTCTCGTAAAAGGAGTAATATCCTGTAATTGCACAGATGAGTTGCACTTAGCAGGCCCATTTAAAGAAGGCAGCAGAATGGATTCTCTCTTTATAGTGTGGCCTTTGCTGGGCGAGTCAAATCCCCAAACCAGGCAGTTTAAGGATTCTGAAGAGGCGTCCGTGGTTTTGTGACTTCTGTGCCGCCTTCGCTGATTTGTATAGCGCTTTCCAGATTCCAGTGGCCCTTGTAGAGTTCCTGAGACCCTCTGCGACTTGAGCACGCATGTTATGACTTCCCCCGCGTTCGCTGATAGATTTTGTCACTACTGACTCATTCTGAGAATGGAGTGGAGGGACAGAAGACTGTAAAAGTCTGCTTCTCTTTAAACTTCACAGGTGTAGGGCAAGCCATTCCTTCTTTGGCTCATGATCTTACAAGTTCATTGTCAGTGTGACCATTGCCTGTAGTATAGACAGCTGCTGACCCCTCCCATGCCCTCCAGTTAGATGGCCTCCTTGCCTGTCTCAGCCTCATTGCTCTTCTGACCAGAGCAGCATTTGATTGTGAGATGACGCCCGGTTTCTCCTTCTTCAAATGCTACAGCTGGGGCTGCAAACCCTTCACCCCCTCTCAACCTGAAGGTAGACATTTATCTTGCAGCGTTGGTTTTGGGGACATAGCAGAGCTAGCTGGTGAGAGAGGTGGCAGTGAGAACACTTCTGGGCTAAGCTGTAAAACTCCTGAGAAAAAAGTGACTCTAACGTCTGTGGTGTTCCCTTTTGTTCTTCACTCTGATCAGCTCCCAAACTCACTTTAAGTCATCAGTTGGGACTTGGGGACTGAAAGGACAGGTCCAGAGGTGCTGAGAAAGAAAGCAATTGGTCTGCAAAGTTGGGAATTACCAAGAGTCACGGGCATGCAAAGTGCAGCACAGGGAACAGAGTCAGTGATGGCCCTGGGTGGGGCCAGGTGGGTACTGGAAACGTCGAGGGAAACACTGTGTCAAGTATATGACTGTCTAACCACTAAGCTGTACACCTGAAACTGGTACAAAATAAAATTGAAAGTAAAAAAAATGAAAGCGATCGGTCTGAATGGAAATAGACAGCCCTGGAAAGTATGTCACATGGCCTCATTTCGTGCCTTGTCAGTCCTGTGAACTTGACAGCGCTGGCAGCTGAGGACTCTCAGACTCCTTGTGCCCAAAGTCTCACAACGTGGGAGTGGCCTCGTTGAGCCTCGAACCAAGGTTCACTGCCAAGCCATTGCCATAAACCAGGAAGCCATAAAGTCTTCCCAGAACTGCTCAGGGGACAGTACCCTTGAACCCAGCCCTGCAAGGTGAGTTAGATTTAGATAAGTGGAAAGGACAAGGAAGGAATTCTGGGTGAGAGGAGCAGTAGAGACAACCAGAAAGCCTGGGAAAGGGAGTGAGAGTGTCGACGTGGAACGGGGCCTGCTGGTTGTGAGCTGCACAGGGCAGGGACCACGGTCTTCTGGGCCACCGTTACATCCCCAGGGCCCGAGGGAGGGCCTGCTGTGTAGTAGGTGCTCACTAAATATTTCTTGCGTGAGTGAACACACAAACAGACGTTATCTTCTCTGTAGACCATGAGCCTCTCGAGCGCAGTCCTGTGTCCTAGAAATATTGGGATGCACCAGCAGTTAATCAACAGTAAGCACTCAATAAATCAGTTCTGATGGGATGGATGAATGAATGGCAGGTAAGGGATGGTGGTGGACGTGCCTGAGTGAGGAGGCACAGACACTTTAGGAAATACTGAGCAATGCACTGGAGCTGTCTTTTAAGGCACAGCGTTGTGGGGTCCACAGAAATGCAGCCAGTGCCTGAACTTTGGTGGGTGTGCGCAGGAGCCACAGTGAAGCACACTGAAAGATCACCTTTCTGTAGGGCTGGCCTCAACCTGGCCCATTGGCGCTGCCTTCCTACTTTGGGGTGACCACACTGTTTAACCCAAAAAGCTTGTGACTGGGAACCTGCAGGGTACCGGGGTTCCTGGAGGGTCCCAGAGTTGTTTTTAGGATAGTTTGGCTGGAAAGTCCCAGCTAACTTCCGCTCAGAGGTGGTCTGCTCAGCCTAGGAGTTCTCAATAAGAGCTGCCTTCTCTTTTCAGATGTTGGCTGAATGTGTGGTTTTCAGAAAACCTGAGGGCCTGAAGGCGGCAGCCCTGGGATAAGCAGCCCTTTCTGTGGGCAGTCGGAACCTTCCGGTCCAGAGGAGCAGCCGTCCCTCACCTGGACTTATGACCCGCGGCCTCGTCCCCAGCCTGCCTATTGAGATCCACAGGATGGGCTCCTTCCGCAGGCCCAGACCGCGCTTCATGAGCTCTCCAGTGCTCAGCGACCTGCCCCGATTCCAAGCCACGCGGCAGGCCCTGCAGCTGAGCTCCAACTCGGCCTGGAACAGGTAAAGGAGGCAGCCAGGTGTGGAGTGGGGGGCTGGCTGAGCTTCTGCGGCTTCTGAGATCTCTGCTTCAGAAGGTCATGGTTCTAGAGGCAATTCGTGAAGAGAAGATGTTTTCCTGCAGAGAATAGATCCATTTTCGAAGAGGCAGAGTGGACCCCTGGGGGCCTCTGGGCTAGCAGAGTCAACTAAACAGCCCGGGGCAGATGGGTTGGAACTTACAGTTACTCTTCCTGCTCATTTGTCACATCCCCAACTCTCAGAGGACCCAAGGGTGGGACCATGTAAGGAACCTCAAGTCCCTCCTGCCCCTTTGGGAAGATAAGACAGCTGTCTGTGAAAAGTCGAGCAGCATAAACCAGAGATCAATACCTCACCGATGAGTCACAGGTGGTTGGGAGAGGAGGCACCGGGCTTGTTTTGCAGGGTGTCCAGCTGACCTTTGCACACCCAGCGCTGAGTAAAAGAACCGATACTCTGTCTTGTGCTTCTGAGGGCCACTGTTTTTCACATCGATATGCACTTACTCTTTGGACAAATGAAATGTATCATTATTTGAAAGCATTACTGACTTCTTTTGGATCAGATGTTTGGATCCTTATGGATTTTCTCAGTGAATGAACAATTCTTATGATGGGGAGGGAGAAGGGACTCTGAAATAGTTTGATGTTAACCAGGTCCTTGTTCTTTAAAAAAAAAAAAAGGCCTGGAACCCCTGGTAAAGACAAGCTTGTAATCAGCTCCTTGCTGAAATATTGGGCTGGGGTCCCAGAGAAGGCGGAGTCGAGACTTCACTGTGGCCCCTCAAGGGGTTAACCGTACTGTCTGTATACCTCACGGGGGTCGGGATGGAAGGGGCGAGTGAGGCCAGCGCCAGGTGGGAGTCTTTCTGAGGAAGGTACTTTTAAAAAAATAAGGTAGGGAATGAACATGTCTTACTAGCCCGGGGCTGCCCTCTGAAGACAGCGCCTCCCAGGTGAAGGAGCCCCAGGTGCGGGTGGGTCGGCTGCTGCTCGCAGTAAACACCTTGGCAGACCCTTCCAGGCCCAGTGGTGTGGCCTCTCAGTTTCCTGAGCTGATCCCACTGCCTGACCTTGATCATTGCCACTCTCCCAGCAGGGCTCCGGGGAGCTAGGTGAGGGGGGAAGACTGCCAGCCTGACAGGGGGGTGTGGGGGGAGGGGCCGCTTTTGGGTCCTCTTGACTTCAGTCTTTCTTCCTCTCCAGGCACCCTGGAGGGAAAAGGATGGGTCCCAGGGGTGGGAAACGTGGCCGTGTTGGTGCTGCGGAGTTTTGGCCCTTTCAGCCCCCTTCGGCTCTGGGCTGCTCGCTGAGATGGCCCTGGGGAGGCAGGTCCCCTAACCAGGGGTTGTTTCTATTCCCTGCAGCGTCCAGACAGCTGTGATCAACGTCTTCAAAGGCGGAGGCTTGCAAAGCAACGAGCTCTATGCACTGAACGAAAATATCAGGTATGTACAGCTCAGGCCAGAGGCCGCTTCCTGTGGGCCTGAGCTGGGGCGGAGGGGGCTACCCCACCCGGAGCCTCAGCTTAAGTTTTGTTTTCTGCTTGGTTCTTGTTGCTCCGTCTGTTGGTTCTTATGGCTGTTAAGTTCTGAGACCCTTATCCTTCTAGACTTCTACTCCAGAGGGGTTCATCCATTTGTTCAAATATGTAGTGTGTGTGTGTGTGTGTGTGTGTGTGTGTGTGTGTGTGTCCGGAGTAGAGGGTAGCTGTTGTTGTCTTCTTTTTTTTTTTTTAAGATTTTATTTATTTATTTTTAGAGAGTGGGGAAGGGAAGGAAAAAAGAGGGGGAGAAACATCAGTGTGTGGTTGCCTCCTGTGCACCCCACACTGGGGACCTGGCCCACAACCTAGGCATGCGCCCTGACTAGGAGTTGAACCAGTGACCCTTTGTTTTGCAGGCCAGCACTCAATCCACTGAACCACAGCAGCCAGGGCAAGGGTAGATGTCTTCTATCCTGTGAACATTGACTGTGTCCTGCTCAACCCTTAGGCACCATGTTCGGCAAGATGTCTAGTGGTTGGAACCAGACTGCTTGGGATTTTATTGCTGTTCTTTTTTCTAAGTGACTTACCAACTTTTTGGTGCCTCGGTTTCCTTTTATGTGAAACAGGGATAGAAAATGTGTCTACTTCCATAGGATTCTGGCATAGGTTAAATTGAGTTGTTATATAAATAACCTGTTAGAACAGGGTTTGAACACACTAACTGCTTGGTCCTGGTAGCTCTTCACATCAGTCTCAGTTACTGTCATTCCTTTAGGTTTTGGCAATACAACCCTCAATAAGACATGGTCCTTGAGGAGGATTTTTTAAAAAGATTTTATTTATTTTTAGAGAGGGGGGGAAAAGAGGGAGAAAGAGAGAAAGATCAATGTGACAGAGAAACATCGATCGGTTGCCTCTCCTACGTGCTCCACGTGGGGTCTGAACCTGCAACCTAGGCATGTGCCTTGACCGGGAATCAAATTGTTGACTTTTTACTTTGTAGGACAATGCCCAACCCATGGAGCTACACCGGTCAGGGCAGGTCCTTGAGGAGTTCTGTCTTTCAGAATCTTCTCAGTAGAGTAGTGTCAACTTTTCATTCATTCATTCATCAAATATTTGAGCCTCCCTATTGGCCAGGCACTGGAGAGATAACAATGAGCAAAAACAGACCTGGACCTTGCTCCCCTGGAATTTATATTCCGTCTGGGAGATAATCATTAGTCAACCAATCACACCTACAACGTGGAGGAGTGCAGCTGTGACAGGTGCTGCCACACAGCTGAGTGATGAAAGCACTTGTCACGATGACCTGGTCCTGCCAAGGAGGCCAGGAATGGTGATGTGATGCATCTGTGGAATGAACTAGGCGAACAGGGCTCCAGGTGGTAGGAACTGCAGGTGCAAAGGTCCTGCAGTAGCAACGAGCAAGGAACTGAAAGAAGACCCACGTGCACAGAGCACCAGAGGTTGGGTAATGGTGTGAAGTAAGGGCAGAGAGGCAGGTGAGTCTCCTCAGGACAGGAGGTTAAATACCAGGTCTTTTAATGCCCTGGTGTTCATTCCTGTCTGGTGCGTTAAGTACAACACATCCAGGCAAAAGACCCAACCCTGGAGTGGGCAGCACAATAAACAAGGCCATTATTCAGGTCCTGTTTACATTTAATCAAGACCTGTGTCTAGGGTCCATGAGGTATTTTAAGAACTCTGCTTTCATTACAACCTTTAGAGCTCAGAAGTAAACAGCGTTGTGTTCAATTTCTACCCAGGTGCTTGAATTTCACATAATCATTAGGCAAATGTGGAAAGGGTTGATACATATCATCTAGCCCAAGGCCTCTTTTCAGGAGGGAGGAAACTGAGGTCCCACTAAGCTGAGTGACAGAGGCAAAGCTGGGTTAGCCAACCCTGAGTTGCAAGAGCTCCGTTTGACTCTTAAGAACTAAGACCCTGGCCTCTCCTCTCTGGGAAGGCTGTTCAGCTCACAATAGAAGTATAAATAAAAAACAGTGACTCAGAAATGTGCTAATTGTTCCTCACTTCAGGAGACCAACCCTGAACTTGTACTTAAAATCCTTGTTTCTGGGCAGCTAGGAAAAATACAGGCCTCGCCAGATTTCACCAGCCCTGTTAGTTAGCTCAGGGGCTGCTAACTCAGAAGCCTTCGGGTGCCAAGCAGGTCTTCCGAGTAGGAGAGGCCTGGGTGCCAGGAGGTGAGAGTTCACCCCCTGCCCAAAGGGGATTACCCCGGCCGGGAGCCGGTTCAGTGACATCTCACTGATTTCTCAAGAACAGGAAACTGTGAGTTTTATATGAAATTTCCTAGCTGTTACACGTTGATAAATAATCCACATCTTCTCAAACATTGGTCCAGGCCAAACAAAACACATCTGTGGGGTGAATTTGGACCATCAGGTTACCTGTTTATAGGGTCAGCTGTGGCATGCATGCATGGGGGAGGCACGGCCGATGGGGGTGTCGAATCCCAGAGTCTGGCACTGAGGCCACTCCAGGGGGGAGAAGGCAGCTCTAGGAACTCCTTAGGAAAAGCTCTAGGCACCTTTCGCCTGCGTGATCACATTTCCCTCCTCACAGCCCCATGGGCCAACCGTTGTCACTGGTGGTATATCCACAAAACTGTGGATAAGGAAAACAAAATAGACCCTGGCTGGGGTAGCTCAGTTGGTTAGAGCATTGTCCCAATATGCCAAGGTTGCAGGTTCTATCCCTAGTCGGGCACATAAAAGAATCGACCAGTGAATGCATCAATATGTGGAACAACAAATCGATGTTTCTCTCTCTCTCTCCCATGTCTCTCTAAAAATCAATAAATAAAAAGACAATTTAAAAAACAACAAAATAACTTGTCTAACATCATGCAGCCATGAAGGGTGGAGTCAGGGTTTGAACTCCTGTCTGACTTAGACGCCTGTATTAGTTTGCTCAGGCTGCCATAACAAATGCCATAGCCTGGTTAACCAGTAGCCATTTCTCACTGCCTGGAAGCTGGAAGTGTGAGGAGCACTCTCTTCCTGGCTGTCATCTGGCTTGTCCACATGGCTTCCTTTTTATGTTCACCAGGGGAGAGCAAGCTCTCTGGTGTCCCTGCTTCGAAGGGCACCAATCCCATCATGGGGTCCCACCTTCTGACCTCATATGAACCTAATTACCTCCCAAAGGCCCACTTCCAAATACCATCCTATTGGCAGGGGAGAGTGCAGGGCTTCAATATGTGAATAAGCGGGAAGATACAATTCAGTTTATAGCAACACCTGTGCTCTTTGCACTATACTGTAGTGTCGGAGAGAGGTTTTAGGGAGAAGGGTTAAGGGGATGGTCTTTAACTTTCTGCCACCCTCTCTTTCATGAGCCTCGGAGCCCGTCTCTCATGTGCTGTGATTCTTTTTTTTTTTAATTATTGATTGTTCTATTACAGTTTTCTCCCCCTGATTCTGCCCCTTTGCTCCCCTCCACCCAGCACCCTCCACTCCTTCAGGCAGTATCCCCATCCTTGTTCATGTCCATGGATCATGTGTGTAAGTTCTTTGGCTACTCTCTTTCTTACACTGTACTTTGCATCCCCATGGCTATTCTGTAACTACCCATGTGTACTTCTTAATCCCCTCACCTCTCACCCATTCTCCCACACCCTTCCTCCTATCACTTTATCTTTAACCTTTGGCATAATCATTATGATGTGTCTTGGGGTGGGCTTCTTTGTGTCCATCTTGTTTGGGACTCTGTGCTTCCTGGACGTGCATGTCTATTTCCTTCACCAAATTAGGGAAGTTGTCTTTGATTATTTTTTCAAATAGATTGCCAATTTCTTGCTCTTTCTCTTCTCCTTCTGGCACCCTGAGGAAGCGAATGTTGGATTGCTTAAAGTTGTCCCACAGGCTGCTTACACTATCCTCATTTTTTTTTTTGGACTCTCTTTTCTTCTTGTTGTTCTGATTGGTTGTTTTTTGCTTCCTTGTGTTTCAAATCATTGACTTGATTCTTGGCTTCAACTCTACTTTTGTTTTCCTGTAAATTGTTCCTTATTTCAGCTGGTGTATCCTTCATTTCTGACACAATCTTTTTTATGCTGTTAAAGGTCCTCACTGAGTTCCTTGAGCCCTGGACCAGTGTTTTCAACTCTGTATCTGATGGATTGCTTTTAGCAATCCATTTCATTTAGCTCTTTTTCTGGAGTTTTGATCTGTCCTTTCACTTGGGCCATGTTTCTTTGTCTTCTTGTTTTGGCAGCCTCCCTGTGCTTGTTTCTATGTATTATGTAGAGCTGCTTTGACTCTGCATCTTGGTAGTGTGGCCTAATGTAGTAGGTGTCCTGTAGGGTCCAGTGGCACAGTCTCTCCTATTATCCAAGCTGAGTACTTGAGGTGCTCCCTTCTTGTGGGCTGAGTACACCCTCCTCTTGCAGTTAAGCCTTGATTTCTGTTGGCAGATTAATGGGAGGGATTTACCCAGGCCAGTCAGCAGCAAGGATTGGCTGTGCCCTCTTACCACCAATCTTTGTCCTCCATGTAGGATCTGCTGTGTAGGGGCAGGGTGGTGGTGCTCTGATGTGGTCTGTAGCTGTCCATGGGGTACACTGGGGTAGGGGTTTTCCAGGTGGTGCAGGTCAAAATCAGTCGCCACCTGTGTTTTGCCTGGGGCAATGCTTCCTGCGTTATAAAGCAATCTGAGATGGCTGCTACTTGTGCTAGGCTTGGAGGTTCCCAGGTGAAGCCAAACTATGAACATAGGCTGCTAATTCTGGGCCTGGGGCTCACTGCGGCCAGCTGTTACTTGTTTGAGAGGATTTAGGAAGTTGTAAAGCGTGAGCCAATACCAGTTATTCATGTGGAAAAGCAGTTTGGGTGGGCCAGGAGGTTGGGTGCAGTGGAGTCTTTGGGGATCTCCAAGGTGGGTCAAACAGTGTTAGTCATGTTGCTGGAATCTTAGATTGAATACCAG